GCCATGATCCTGTCGCGCGGGGCGCGGCCCGAAAGCATCCTCGACTTCTCACACAGACTTCAAATGCAGACGGAGGTTTAACTGGACACGTGCCTCACAGGACGGAACGCCTTCGCGTCTTCTGTGCTACTGAATACCTTCTGACATTGGGTCCGAGGCAATCATCAAATCGAGCCGGGATCGTGGAGGTCATTGATGCGAGCTTCGGGCGGCAGGCAGCGTTTATCCAGGGAGTCGCTCAAACCCACTGCGCAAAATTAGACGAGACAAGCCGCGAAACGTTCCTCGCCCACATCCCGCGTCCACTAGCATCAGGGATGGGATCGAGGACGACGCTGTCTGTCTTCCCCATGTCTGCCCATGCACCTCCCGCCCCCAGAACGCAGTTCAAGGGGGAATCCCGGGCCCCCGTCGCCTGGCGGAGGACCGCCGCCCGGTGGGCCGCATCGCCCACGGCGCTTGTCGCCGTCGTCGCTTTCCTCCTCGCCCGAAGATTCATGGCCCTCGTCCCCAGAGTCTTCTGGGTCAAAATCTGAAGTCGGAATCGCCTCCGCCGCCGCTGGGCGGGCCTGAGTCCCTCTTCTTCTTGCTAGGGGCAATGTCTCCGGGGGCGGACTCATCGAATTCTCAATCGGATTTTCCCCCTTCGAACGCACCGCCGCCGTCGTCATCGCCGCCTCTGGGCATCCGTGGACAAGGAGGAGTTGCCCGGGAACCTCGCGACAGGCGTGACCTCCACGTCGATCTCAGATGTCCCTTTCTTTCTGCGACGTTCGTCATTCCCCCGTGCCTCCCCCTCTCTTTCCATGTCCCGTGTGTCGGCTTATGGCGCAGCCACAGCCCGTTTTTTCCCGCGCGCCGCTCTCTTCTCTGCGCGTCGGCTGCAGCGCGGCGTTCCACGTTTCATTCAGGCTTCGCGGAGCATCGAAGTCATCTTCTCGCGCTCGGCCATAGCGCTGTCCCCGCATGCCAGCCAGCGTCGAGCGACCTTATTCTCTGTCCTTTGCTCCGAGGTCGCGGCGCCACCGCGGGGCGTCCTCGCAGTGGGTCGACAGTCGGATGGCGGCAGCGCGCCCGCCCATCTCCATCCCCACCGCACGCCCAGCCCCCTTTGCTTCTTCTTTTCTTCCTTCATCCACTTCGCGAGAGCCTGAGGCCCCGCTTGGCACTTGAACCGGCACAGCGGTTTTTCTCTCTGATGCGTTCCCTCTCAGTTCGTTTTGGATATGTTGTTCCGACAATTCACGATACCGAAACTGCCGTCGTGCTTTCCATTGCTCGAGGGTCTGCGTCGCAGCCGCTCCCATGATGCGGGGCGCGGCGCCCAGTTTGGAATTGGCTTCCTGTTCCATCATCTGAGTTCTTTGCGAGGTTTCTCTAGCCTCGGCAATCGCGCGCGCAGATGCGGCGTTTGATTCCAAAGCGACGGCATGTTCCCGCTGCCGAGAGTCATTGGTTTCGCCTCGGGCTCGACGCAGCAATGCTGCAATCTCGCCCGCGGCGCGCTTCGCCGCTTCGACGGCGGCTCTCTTTCGGGCGGCCGCCGCCTGAATTTCAACGTTGGCTTCCGACGTCAATGCTGCGCTGCGCGCCATGGCAGCCATGGGCCCAGCAGCAAGATGGCCCACAGCCGTCGATTGACTTTGACTGGCCCCCCGGACAGCAAGCGCGGCCTTCTCAGCATTGCCCCCAACAGAGGCGCGCGCTCGATTTTCCGCTGCCCCAGTTGCCTCGAGTCGGCGCGCCGTGTCTTTTGCCCCACCATTAACTCTTTCAAATCTTTTGGCCATGACAAGGCGCAGGCGCTTCTCGGGCTGTTCCAGAGCCCCAGTCGCGGCCTGATCGAGTTTCCTCAATTCGCAGCCTGGCCGCTGCCCTCTGCTGAAATTCCGCGGCCCTGACCTGCCCCTGCATGTGCTCCAATTCTCTTCTTCGTTACCCCATCGCGTTCGCTTTTTTCTTATCTCGCATCTCCCCCCGTTCTCGGCGACGGAGGGCCGCGCAGTTATGCGCGCGAGGAATCCAGACACCAGGGCACATAAACCTTAAGTTGCATTCGGGACAGCTCATTGAACGCGCCGAGCAAGCGGGTTTTTTTACACTTGCCAAGCACCCCCGGACATCTGAACTCTGGCACGTCGGCGCAGCCGACCCCGCTGCGAAAGCATTCGTCGAGCATCTGGTAGCTTGAGTCGTCCGAGCGAGCCGTGCATGCCGAGCGCGATGACGCCCCCGACATCGCGCGAGGCTCTCGCCACCTCGCAGACGCCCCAACTCGGATCCTCGGCGAACGGGCCCTCAAGATGGCAGTCCTGGTCGGGCTTACCTCTAACCGTCCCGAGTATCTCGCCCCGGTCCCCTCGGGCGAAGAAGACGCCGCGCGGGTCGCGTCTCGCTCTACGGCTATCTCTGGGCCTGAAGCGCACGACTCTTCTGGCGGGCTCACCGTTCTCGATCGTTTGATCAGTGGCGACCTTGGCAGAGTCACGTCGCCCCTGGGATGCTTCACCGTCGACGTCCTCGGAATGTTCCCGGGGAACGTATCGTCGCAGGGGTCTTTAATAGCGTCGAGTTCCGAACTGGACGGGATTTCACGGTCCTGATGGAGCGGCTCGACGAAACCATCGGTCTGACGACGACTTTCCTCCTCGAGTGTTTCGCGTCTAGCAGCAGGCGTCAACGAGGAAAGGTCGGATTCGTCATCCTCCAATGATATATCGATAAGTGTAATACCAGTGCCTTTGTTTGGATCACCCGCCAGCCTAGGCGCATCTGGTCGCACCGCAGAACTTCCGCCACTGGACACGGAGACCAGAGAGTCGATGCACGCATTCTGCGATGAGCGTAGTGTCGGAACCCTGACGTCGTCAGGATCTTGAAGGCGACTCTCGCCGCTTCTTTAAAGCCATGTGGATGTTCTGCTGCACAAGAAAACACCATCATCAATTCCTGAAGGGAGCGCCTCCTGGCCTCGTGGAAGAACTTTCGGGTGATAGCCAAAGTTTTGCCGACATAACGTTATGTTAAGCAAACGCGTATTAGTATTGATAGGTGGTTCTGCTTGTTGATACGATTATTATTCTTGTGGTTCTTGTAGCTCACGAGAAGCTTACCTCCCACTACGAACTGGCGAGTACATGGCCGGACAAGCCCGTTAAGCGGAGCTACTCAAACCAAAAATGTAATGTGTATGCGTATGCGCGCGTGGCCCGCCCGCCCGACCAGCAGGCGCGCGGTTTTGCTCGAGCAACTGTGCACAATTGTGGAGACAATCCTTCCGCATGATCCATGCCCTACCAACACTCTGCAAGGGAAAAGAGTGGAGGGCAGCAAATATGGGCGAGGGGAGTGTGAGTAATGACTGGGGCAAGAGAGAGCCCCAAGACGGCCCCAAGAGCGCCCAAGAGCGCTCCAAGAGCGCCCCAAGAGGGGCCCAAGAGGCGATTGTAGGTACTCTAGAACGGCGAGGGTAATTGGGGAACCCCCTTTTTTGGTCGATGTCCTCCAAGTTGGCCCGAAGAGCGTTCCCAAGACAACCAAGAGCGCCCCAAGAAGGCCCCAAGAGGCGCCCAGACGTCCCCAAGAGGCGCCCAAGATGCCTCCAAGAGGCTCCCGAGAGGCCACCAAGAGGCTTCAAGAGAATCCCCGAGGCACCCAAGATGCCCCCCAGACGTTCCAAGAGGTCTCCGAAAGCCTCCCAAGAGACATCCGAGGAGGCTCTTATGTTCGTCCCTGTTTTCCGTATCCTCCTCCTCCTTCTCCTCCTTATCCGCCTACTCCTTCTCCTCCCTCCATCCTCCTCTCCCTCCCCCACCTCGGACGGCTTCCCCCGCCCTTATTATTCTGCATGCTCCCCCATTTTCCTGATCACCTCAACTCCCCTGGGCATCGTCGCTGGATGGGCTGGTGGGGACAAGCGAAACGTCAACAATCCCTTGCCTGGGCGGTGGAGCGCACCCTCCCGGCCCACTCTGCTCTGGCGCAAGACTGGCCGATACTGCCCCGCCCCCGCTTTGCGCTCACGTAGCGTAGGCACCCGAAGCATGGAGTCTGGAAGGAATCCAGGAATCCCAGAGTTGCGCACTGTGCTTGCGCTAGTGCGGTCCATAGCGCGTCGAGCCTGCGAAGTTGTCAAACCGCGGAAAGCCGCTCAAATCTGCTTGTCTACGAATGCTGCTTCAGGCATTCATCATCACCGTCCGTCCTCCATCCTCCTCCTCCTCCTTCTCCTTCTCCTCCTCCTCCTCGCCCTCCTCTTCTTCCTCCTCCTCCTCATCATCCTGCCTCCGTCTGTCTGCTCTTGGCCTTCTTCCCCCTCTTCCTCCTCCTCCTCCTCCTCCTCAGCCTCTGCCTCCTCCGTTTTGTCCTGTTCCTCGTCGCCCCCCCTCAAGCCCCCCCCCTCCATCCACCCTCCTCACTCTTCACCCCTCCCGCCTTCCTAATCCCTCCTCTTTCTCCTGGCTCCATCCATCCACCCTCCCGCCTGCCTCATCCCTCCCTTTTTCCCTCCTCCTCCTCCTCCTCGTCAGATTGACCCCGTTGCCTGCCCCGCCGCACCATCCTTATCACGCGTCGCCTTACCCTCCTCCGATCCCGCCGACGCTGATCCTTCTCCTACACGGCGTGGAGGCGTGGAGAACACGATATCCGACTTCTGATCGCAACTGGGCCTCATTGCGAAGATCGATCCATCGAGAAGTCAAGACCTGTTGGGCCATCACAACAAGCTCTCCCTGGCACAAGTAGAACTGACGTAGCCACGGTGCACTGGCATGCTGAAGTACATGCTGAGAGCAGCATGTGAGAGGGGGTCCTCTGAAGGAGCCAGGTAGCACAAGGCAACCACCGCGGATAAAGTGACACCTGGTGCTGCTGTCAATGTCTCCCTGCTGCCCTTCCTCCGTGCTCGCTGAAGGTGTACACGGCATGATCCTCGGAAGCTGTGCTCGGACCTTGCAGAGTCAAGATCCTCCAACCCTCCTCCATCCACGCTCTCGGTGTGCCTTCTCTCTCCCAGCCATTCTCGGACAGTCGTGGGAGCTACTTGACTCAACGCCGACAGCCAGAAGTCCCTCGCAACGGGGGCACGAGCGCGCTGCGCAGAGCTGCTGTGCTGCCCACACTGTCTGTGCGTGGGTGCGGACTTCGGGACTCAGAACGCCTGGACGCCAGATGACCTGTGGACAAAATGACCTACAGACAGTGACCGCGCAGGCGGCAGAGGAGGAGGACGAGGCGGGGGGGGAGCGGGGAGGACGGAGGACGGAGGAGAGAGAGAGAGAGAGCGCCGCGCCCGCCCCCAGCGCAGGTCAAGTGCAGAGCGCCCGCCGGCCCTCGCGCGGCGAGCGCAGAATGTGCTGCTGCGGGATGCCCCCTCGCCCTCCCGCCTCCTCCGCACCCCTCCGCCTCCGCCGCACCCCCCCGCCTCCGCCGCGCGACGGCCTCCTCCGCCTCCGCCTCCTCCGCCGCCACCTCCTCGCCTCCCCCTCCCCCCCCTGCGCTCCGTCCTGTGCACGCTGGGGCCTCGCGGGCGATGGGCCCATGCGATGGCACGCGGCCGGGCGGGTGGGGCCGGGCCCCGGGGATCACGTGGCGGAGGTGGGATCACGCGGCGGAGGTGGCCTCTCAGCGGCGGCTGCGGCAGCAGCAGAACCAAGTGCATCCTCCGCAGCACGCGAGCGCGAGGACCGCCGCCGCCAGGATGGCCAGGACGCCTAGGGTCGTGAAGGAAGGCTTGCACTTGATGGTGCCGTCCACCTTCATTCCCGAGGTGGCCTTGATAGAGCAGTCAAAGTCATGGAACTTCACGAGCGCGTTGTCCTGGATGTAGCCGCACTGGGTGCTGGGGCTGCACCAGTCATCGCAGTCCCCCTCCATCTTGTACACGCAGGAGACCTCAGAGACGCCGCACTTACTCTCCACGAGCTTCTGCAGGACCAGCTCCGCGCTAGCGCACGCGGCGTCGCTGGCCTCGATGGCCACGGCGCCCTCCGCCGCCTCGTCGGTCGCAACAGCATCCCCAGCGACACGCGAATCCGCGATGCTCTCAGCTGCGACGGTATCGCCGGTGCCCCCGACGGTGCTCTCTGTCGCCGCTGCAGCGCCACGCAGAGTGGTCAGGGGCACCACGGCGCTGCTGTCGGAGACCACCTCCAGGCCCGAAGGGTCCGCTGCCAAGGCGACGGCGAAGCAGACGACCACGGCGACGGCGCGCATTGCTGTCGCTGGATGGGCGAACTTCGCGAGAGCGGCTGGGGATCCGGCAGTTTGGGCCAAAATTCCTACGAACTCTTGGGAGCTCGCTGGGACCTTCTTGAGGCCCTCGCTGGGTCTTAGAGGGGCCTGAAGGCCCTCCCAAGACTGACCTCGAGACGATTCTGGCGTCGGACCCGACCGAGGACCAACAACAACATGAACAAACACCAAGCAGCAACCCAAAAGCATGGACAGTGTTACTCGGGGAGGAGCGAGCCCCCGAAATGAGCCATCTGGGGCCGTCTTGAGGGTACCCGTGGGCCCCGTCGGGCTGTCTTGGGCTCTTGGGGCCATCTCGTGGGCCTCGCGTGGCGTCTTTTTTTTCTTTTTTTGGGGGGGGGTGGTCAGTGCGCTGCGTCAGGTAGGTGCCTGGAATGTCTCGAGCAAGCAGTAAAACCTAACGGGCGCTACTGAGCATGCGAGCTTGAACTGGCGGCTCACACCTCTACTGGCGGCTCAAAATCAGACTCGGGATTGAGCAGCCTAAGCATCACACTCGGGATTGAATAAGAGAACGCGTTTTTTCAGCAGGCCGCATTCTGCCGTCTTGTCTTTAGCTGGCAAGCGCTCTTATTCAAAACCGAGAGCCACTCAAAGGGGGAGTGGGTACCGTATTGGCATGAGTGGGTGCCCCAATGTATCTGTACAATATGTGAATAACTTCCTCTACGTCCACCCTGGTCATGGATCATGAATAGGTAACGGGTGGGAAACATGCGCGGCGCGGGCACTGCAGCCTGACACAAAACTGGGGGCGCGGCGTTGTATGCACCGCCGTTCGAAGATAATCCAGGCCAAAATGCCCGCTCCTCTACTGACAGCCTACACAATGGCAAGCGAAGCATGCCCAACATGCACGCAACGCTGGTTGCCACAAGCCATTCGGAGAGGTCTTTTGGGAAGAAGGATCACTTGCTGGAAGGATTCCGTGGTCGCAAACATGAAAGCGAGCAGCCGGTTCACGAAGGATTCGGTGGCGCCGTCGGCCCCTGGTTTGAAAACTGAAACCACTGGGTGGTTGCCATCCGAAGACGTCTCGCCCTTCCAGAGGACGCACTGCCCACTGGGCCCGAGCACCGGGTCGCAGCCTGCGTCGGTGGCCTCCGCGACGCGCTGCAGCATCTCGACGATCACCTCCTCGTGGACGAAGAACTCCCTGGCGCGCGGGCTGACGTGGCGAAGCCACTCCCTGGCCAGCGCCGCGCACTCCTCGCCGCTGCGCAGCTGGAGGGCGGGCTCGCCTTCGGGCTCGCTCCGCAGAGCGCCGGCCCCAGCCGCGCGGCTGCCCACCGCGCGGCCCTCGGGCACGACGGCGTCGCCGAAGAGCGCGGTGAACAGGTTGCTGGAGCACATGCGGCACTTGGCCATGGCCCTCTGCTGCGCGGCTGGTGCGCCCCGGCCCCGGCAGCGCGAGCGCCCGTCGGGGACGCTAATTGCGAGAGCTCCGCCTGCCTGGGTGGGTACAGTCCGGCCACCTTGAGCCAGAACTTGAGCCAAAATGATTACGGATGGGCCTCGCGTGGCGTCTGTGGGCCCTCTTGGCATCTCTGGTGGCCCTCCCATAAATCTGTGGGGGCGTCGCAAGGGGATGCTGACGATACCCAGGCGAGCGCAGGGAGAGACCAGGCAGCGGCATGGGAGGCCCCCGAGGGAAGACGCGAAGTGGTCCAAGTTTTTGGCCTCCCATCCTCCTCCTCCTCCTCCTCCTCCTCCTCCTCCTCCTCCTCCTCCTCCTCCTCCTCCGCTGTGTCCTTCCCTGAGTAGGTGTCGCCGCTTCGACGAGAAACCATCTCCACGCCCGCATCTTCCCGAGAAGACGTCGTCAGAAGCGTACGCCCTCAGACATTCAGCCAGCCGATGCACTCAAGGACCGAACTTCAGGCGGCTGTGATCACGGGCATCCTTCTGAAGCTCAGATTGCGAGCAACAACAGCCTAAGTCCAGACACAGTCGACGGGAGGGCTGGAGCCAGGCAAGGGGCAGCACACTATTGTCACCCGCTGCAACAATGCCATTGCGATCGCTTCTGTTGCTAAGTGTTTGGCGAGGTGAGCAAGAATGTCAAACATCAGCATGCGACGTAGAGAAACATACAACAAGGTGGGGCGAGGCAGCACAGAGTAAAGCCCAAGAGTAAGCAAGGGACGGATGATCGAGACAGCACAAGCAATCGCAACCTTTGCTACACGAGCTGAGTAACAACTTCAACGTCTTCACGAAGGTTGTCAGATCCTTCACGCAAGCCGCACAAAAATCTCACACTGGCGGGACATACGACTGACGAAAGGTCAGGAGAAGCACTGGCAGCGGCAGCTGCGCAAGTATCACGCTGATCAGTTAACCTGACGGAGGACCCGAGCCTATGCAGCTGCGTCTAACTCAGGGGATCGGCATCTCCTCATGGACTGCGAGTCACGTGAAAGAAAGAATTGACGCTCCGCTCCGTTGGGACACAATCCGTGTGAGGAAAGCGCCGGATTGAGCGGGGGGAAACGCATGGCCCCAAGCGGCGCTCCCCGTGGGGCACGAACCGTGAGAGAGGTGTCCGAAACGACCGCGGGGGGCTCATGCGAGCACGCCCCACTGGGGCCACGAGTGGAGCTGCAGATGGAGCACGTTCTGTGTGAAAGGTGTCCGGCATGGCGTGGGGGGCACGTGCGAGCACGCCCACTGGGGCCGCAGGTGGAGCTCCCTGTGGGGCACAATTTGTGCAAGGACTGTGACGCATGCGAGAACACTCACTGAGGCCGTTGGTGGAGCACCCTGTGGGGCACAGTTCGTGTGAGGGGTGTGACACATGCGAGCACACCCAATGGGGCCATGACTGGGGGGCCGGTGTGCGAATAGCCAGGAATTACGGATGGCAGCAGCCGCAACAGCAACGGCAGCGCAGTAGCAGCACGCGCCAGCCAGCGAAACGGTTGAAGCAGCGGGAGGAGAGGAGGGGGGAGGAAGAAAGGAAGGAGGCGCGCGAGCGCTGCGGACTGGAGCACGCCAACCAAAAAACCAGACAAACATGACACACTCTTCCAGCGTAGAAACACGCAGGGGAGGGGGGCCAGGACGGTGGCCTGCTGGTGGCCTGCCTCCGAGGATGCGGCGGGGGGGACGGCAAGGGGAGAGAGAGGGCCAAGGGAGAGGAGGCGGGGCCAGGACGGGAGAGAGCGGGCAAGGGGAGGGCTATGCTGCCCCGTCTCGCTTTCTTCACCTCCAATCTCGCCCATTTGATTATCTTCTCGCGTCTCAGTCGACTCCTCCCTCCTTGAGCCGCAGCCGTTTCAGCATCAATCCCTTCGCGAGAACTCCAAGCGAACCGTTGCTCTGTGAAGTGTTTCCCTTGCGGGTCATGGGCCGATGGTTGCGCAGATGGCGATGCTGGGTTCATGTTCGATTGCCGTCGCAAGTCGACTGAATCGTGTCTTTGTTTACTTTATGGTATGTGCGACAGATGCGATAAGGAGTGGGATGGTCACGTGGTTGTCAATCAAGCAACATGCGTGTACAAAGGTGTAGAGTCATACAACGTAGTCAGCCAACTGAGCGTAGGTGGCATCGTGCAAGTTCGGAATGTAAAACCATTGCAGAAGATTATGAGATGCTCCATCTGTGCGAGGGGGAGCATTCAGGCAGACCACGTGCCCCCTGTGAACGTCACCTCATTTGAAACAGAAGTATCCCTGGTATTGTGCGTCTCCAGGGCAGCAGTCTTCGAGACTGCATTGACGAACAAGGTTCTCAAGCGTGTCTACCCTTGCTTACGAGTGGGAAACACACTATTGCGAACGGATGCCACATGGTAGGTCTTGCTGATGGGGGCTTCGTGCAGGACGATTGCGCGCAGGAGATCACTCCCGCGGAGCTGTGGGGAAGCGCTTCAAAAACCAACGAGACGGTGAAAACAATTCTTGGATGGAGGCGAGCGCTGGCATGGAAGAGCCCGAGCCGCAACGTCACAAGACAAGCGGCCTCGTTCAGAAGGTTGCCGGGAACGCCAGATCCGCTGACGCAGCCGCGTCGAACCAGGCTCCCGCTCCTGCCGACGTCGAGATGGCAGTTGCACGCATGGGATGGGAGAGCGACCCAACCTGCGCAGCGAACATGCTCACAGAGGTTCAAGCGTTCTTGCCACATGATGATGCATGGAAGTTGGTCGAAGGAGACCAAGGTGAGTTGTGCCATACGCCCTACGGCGCGTCGGCGCGGCGCGCATCAGCACTCAAGCGAGCTCGAAGAAATGGGCACAACTGCTTCGCCCATTCCAACCGGGGGGCGCCAATGTTCCGAACGCACATATCATTGACCGGAATCATTGTCCCCGGGTAGGACACCGCGTTATGTAGCGGACAGTGATCACCTCCCTGGGCGGCTTTGTCAGTGGCGAGCTCCTGCTTCGTTATCCGGCGCACCTCGTCATTGGAGACACGGGAGATAATGGAATGCTTGATACCAGCGACACATCTCAGCATCCGGACCTGTGCCCCGTTCATCCGCCTCCGCTCTGCAGCATTCAACCAGACTGCGCTGAGGCTGCACAACAGCTTGGGCATCACAATACCGTTGAACAGCTCCACTCTCCTGTCTAGAGAAATCGAAGTACGGCCCCAAAGCTGCTTCATGCTTCTGAAAGCGGCGAAAGCCATGCCGATCCGTCTCGTTATTTCGCCACTCGCTCGCCCGTCGCTGCTGATTGTGATTCCCAGGTAGGACAGCGTGTCTTTAGCCTCGATGATTTCCCCGGTGGGCGCGCGAATGATCCCATTGCAGCGAACCCTCAAAAGTTGTAGTTTGCCCCAGTGCATCTCCAGACCCACGTTGGCTGCAGATCGGCACACTGCCTGGAGCCACCGTTGAATGTCATCAACTGTCCTGGCCATGAGCAGAGTATCGTCTGCGTTAACCAGCTGCCTGTATTGTCCCCGCCGCGACGGCTGCACTACTGATTCCGCGTCCGTCATCACCACGGTCATCACCATTATGAAGAGAAGTGGCGAGAGAGTGCAGCCCTGCGAGATGCCGGACCGCTGGCTCTTCTCCTCGGAGGTGACCGCCCGGTCGCGGACGACGACAGTGCGTTCCTCGTAGATGCTCCGAATGAGATCAA